CACAAAAAATAATCTTTAAACACAGTCTTTTTCCCTTCTCTGTGTAGGGAAATAATGATTGAAATCTTGACGAAGGGCCTTGTGCATTTTGGAAAGGCGACCTCAACCACATAGTGCCATCCCTGAGACAGTTATATGTTCTCATCTTTTTTTTTCCCCTCAAAGTTATTATCTTTAGCTAAGTGGGAATGAAGAAAGCTCTTTAACAAAGGAAAGGCATATCTTATCAAACTTTGGTTTTGGTTATTTTAAGTTTGCTGTTAAACAAAATGAATGGAATCCCAGTAGGTGTTTGGCCTTAACCCATTCGCCCCGTGGCAAGTATATATGCCATGCCCACTGCAATACACGTTTATTTATTGTGCTTACACATAGATGGCTCTACAAGTTTTTAATCACCAAATAGCCAGTTTATCAGAACTACCTATCTCACCTGTTTACCCTTTTCCTTCACTTTAGGAAAGGGTCTTTTGTATCATTTCATTGTCTAAAATATTTTAATGACAATTTAATAATCATAACATCATAACATTGATAGCAGTTGTATTAATAAGAAAAAGATATTTTCCCGCCAATTCAAGGAATGGGGAAATAAGGATTGGTTACCAGGGCCTACTGATAGACTCCTTGCTGGCTGAGCACACGTGGAGCCATCTGTATGCAACAAAATTCACCAAAAACTACAGGGGACAGAACATAAATCCGGGGCGAATTGGTTAATGTTCATTGATGTGTTCATCATAGACACAATTTATACTCCTGTCATTTGTATTTTGATATGTAGAGACTGTATCATGTTATTCAAATAAATAATTTTAGACAATTACCCAGTCCATTAGTATCAATTAAAATCAACAAGAAGTATTAGAAATGACTGCATAAATGTCAATCATTAAAAAAAAAAAAATTATCTATTGCCAAAATTTGATATAATGCAAAAAGGAGTATAATATAAGATACATTATTTACAAATTATTACGTACATTTGCATTTTCAGCTAGTCTTTCAAAACACAGCTTTTCAGGCATGAAACACATTATCTACATCTCACTGGTACTGTCAAGAAATGTGACAGACATTAATTAGTGCATTTATACTCCAAAGTGGGGAACTCAACCAAGGTTTAAATCATGTAATTCATGGTCATGGTGGTTAGTAAATCAGTGAAAAACATGCCCTATCCTAGGAAGCATTTACTCCATCCCCAGTCTACAGGAAGCAAAGGTAATTAGACTCCCAAGATCAATCTGCACAGAATGTAATTCATGATCTCTCTCCACAGTTCTCCTGATGGCACAGGGGACGTCCTCAACGACATCGGCAACATGCTCGCCAACTTGACGGATGAACTTGACGCCATGTTAGAACAAGAACTCACTCTTAAGAATTAAGGGGAATTGGAAATTGAAGCTCTGTTCCTACCAGTTATGAAATCTAACTAAAACTTCTACTCGTTTAGATTGTGAGTGAATGAGTGAGGGAGGGACTGTAAGGGGAGGCTGGGAGGAAGAAAGAGTGAAGAGGCTGGGAGATGACATAGGGCATGCTTGAGTGAGTGAGTGATGTATCAGAGTAAAAGATGTATGATGTGGAGATGTATTGGTTAAGTTATGAAGAAACATCCTGTAACAGTGATTGTAATGAAATCATAGAAGATTATATTTTAAAGAAATTTAACAGCACTTACTACACTGTTATCATATAAACTTGTTAGTTGGGTATCAAACCTGCACTGATGTGTGTGTCATTATTATATTTTAAAAGATATACCGTATATGGAGAGAGAGTACAGATTTAGGACTTCTTTAAAAGGCTATAGATGCTCTTCAGGAAGCATTCCTGCTCTCCTTGTCCCCAAAATGGCACCATCCGTCATCACTCTTTTGACTGCAGGATAATGTCCTAGATCTCAACTTTTAGATGTAAGTGATTTCATTGATGCAACTGTTGAGGCTCATAAAACCACAAGATTATATTTTCTTTCTTTTCTGTTGTTCTTTTTGAATAATGTAGGTCTCTGCTATGGTTAGTCAGTGAAATGGAGAAGACTATGGCCATGTAGTAATTATAGAATAAAAATGTGTTGTACAGAAACAAGGCAGTTGGAATGAGAACTGAGATTCAAAAAAGTTTGCCTTATGAATTCAGTATATATTAGTGTGGTGAATCAAGGCTAATCTGTTAAGTAAATTGCACAAGTACTTATGTGATTTACAAGTGACTGTATTGTAGATTGCACCAAATTTATTTTGATGTAAAAGAATATCTTATTATAAAGTTTCTGTATTGATAATATGTAAAGGGTAGTTGGAACCATATTTTTGCCCTCGGGCTCACTGCGCTATGATAATCCACATGCCCACCAAAGGCACATCAGCGTCGATGTGGTTAGACTTAACTTGTGGTGTATGTTGTACGTATGTATATTAGATGAAACAATCATATATACCAGGAGATAAAAGGAGTGGAACTTCTCCAATATATCATAATTAAACCAAAACCAGAGGTTTCAGAAGCAAAATATTGCCAAGAAATGTGTGGTAGTTCTTGATATCATTGTTTGCATTTTCTTGGAAGTAACAAATGGGGGATGCAGAACATAGTTCCTTGAAAGTTATCAAATCTTGCTTAGAAAATCTGTACTTATTCATATACATGGATTTATTGCTGCAATCTCTCTTTTTTTCTTTCTTTTTTCTTTTTTTTTTACCAACCCAATAGTTTACTGAAGATAAATATATATTTCTGAAATATAGTGTATTTACATTTTTGTTCTGTATTACTGGTTGCTGTGTATTATGAAGTGATATGAATCTTGTTACAGGGGTAGAGAGAAAAACAAAACAAAAGCAAAAATATTTTGTTTAATTACACTGTAAATATCTTGTACAGAATCTGTAAATATCTAGGGATAATACTGTGTGTGGGTTTCAACTTTATCCAAAAACCAGATGGAAGTCAAAGTGAAATCTGATGGAATTTTGTTTCCTGTCCACTCAGAAGAGAAGGCCTTTGTTTACAAGACTAGAGTTATACTATCACTTTCTATGCTTGCTTCTATGATCTTTCTGCATAGGGTTTTCAATCTGTTACCAGTCTCATTGAGCTTTTGCATTATGAAAAGTTCACATCGAGGATATATGCCATTTTAGCTTATACTTGATACTAGAAGGAGAAGATCCCAAACATGCAGGTCACGGGGTAGCTCAGGCAGGGGGTAGCTCAGGGGGGGCGCAGCTGAATCTGAGTCTGAGGAAGAGGAGGGGTTAAGCTTGCAGTATAATCACAGGAATGTTCCAAAAGATATGGATTATCAGTGTGAATTTGACTGTTCTGTGGATTTTGTTTGTAAACAATACTTTTGTGATAAATGTTTATTTGAAAATTGAAAGGATGAAGTTAACATAGCAAGTTTTCTATTATGCTAGCTGTATGACCAGACAATGTAGAAGGCATTCTCAGTTAGTCAATAGCCTACAGCCTCTAAGAAAGAAGGGGCTTAAAAGTGCACAGCCATATGCATACACATACATAAACCTATATAGAATTTTGAGCTCAGAATTACCTGTGAACACTATGTAATAATAGGCTGTTTGTATGGTAGTTAGCCTACTAGAATGTCAGGAGGAATCATGCAATATTGAGCACTGGACGGGATTAACGAGTCCTTTGATGTTAAGCGACGTTGCATGTCTTCATGAACATTTTTCTCTTATGTATGCTATTATACCCCACTTATATAGTAGAGTTGTCTTTGGTCTGTAAGAAATGCCAAATAGTGGGACAGTTAAAGCAGAAAGATTGGCAAAGCTGTGTTTGATAGTCATTGCAAGTTAAAACACAAATGTATTTCATATTTCCTTGGTGTGATCTGAACTTTTTGAGTTTTGGAAAGCAACTTTATATGTTTCTTGGGAGTTATCATAAGTGATATTTCACTTGTTTACAACATTAAGGTAGCAGTTTATAGGAGGCTTATTTTTTGTATAGTATGTACAATATATATATAAATCTGCCAATTTTGTGTTGAGTATTGACATCTAGCCATCATATTTTCCATGCTGTTGTCAGCTGTCTTTTTCATTACTGTATGTATATCATATACCTTAATATTGAATATTGAAGAAGTATAATCTTTAGTGTTTTTAGATGACTTTTGTTTCATTTCATCCCAATTACAGCCTAACCAGATGTATTTGAGAGAAACAGGTAGGTGGGGGCTGCCCCACCTACAAGTCTGAGTCTGAGTTGGCAACTCGAACAGGTTTTTCTCTTACTCCCTACTCTAGTAATGTTGGTTGCTCTGCCCCTCCCTATCCCTCCTACATCTTACTTCCCCATTTCTACCTCATACCTTCTTCAGTCAAATTCTTTGCCATCCTAAATCCAGACACTCCAATCTCTACTGAGTTTATTTGTTCTCACAGATCTGACCTTCCATCATATCCTTTCTTCTTATAACCCATCCATTATCTGGCTTTCAAGAGACTTCTTACACATCCTCCTCTACCAATTCCCAATTACCATTTTGTCTCTTCCTCACACTCCCTTAATGTCTTGTGTATACTTATCCATCGGAAAACACACCATATCATGGCCACACACGTCTTACACACTCCTAATGTCACATTCTGATCCACCCCTATGTTCCCTATAGAATGTCCCTCCTTCAATTCTACACATTCCATTGTCCTGTCCACGCTTTGATGCAACCTGTACCTTTGCTTCCCCCCACCTATGCTCCCTTCACCGACCTCCCAACCTATCCGACATCCTTACAGAATCTCTCACTTTCTGCTTTGAGAACCTGTTCTCCTTCCTCAGACGCATACATACCCTTCACTTGATCAGACCCTTTTACCTAACCTGATGTTAACCCAGTCACCCATCAACTCCTTTGCCCAGCTTTAACCTTTTCAATATTAATCTAGATAGTTGACGTATAGCAACTAATCACTAACTCAACCGCCTTTCACTCTCCCATACTATACCTTCCTATA